ACTTTTTCAAGTTTTTACATCGCGCCATAACTGAATTTGGTACTTGTTTAGCTTCTTGCCGACCAGCCACTGTAGAAATACGGTGGCAGGTCGGCGCGGCTGGGCAAAACCACGTTTTAAAACAGGTAGGGGGCGCGCGTGAGGCGCATGCCCGCCCTACCCGTCCCGCTGATCGCGGCCGCGGGTGTCAGTCGCCGGGTCACTGCCGGTCATTACCGGCCGTGTCCCACCGATTAACGGCAATCACTGACAGAGAGCAGGGCTGCAGTAGCTCTGCTTTCTGTCAGTCCCGTCAGCTCCTGACATGCTGATCCAGAGAGAAGAGTTTATCTCTCCGAATCAGCCTTGTTCCCGTGCAGTACACACCCCCGCCCCCTAGTAAAACACTCCCCTCAGACAGTTAACCCTTTCAGTAAATAAAAAAGTTAACCCCTTCCTCCCCAGTGCCATTAGTACAGTGTTAGTGGGGTTTTTTTTTGCACTGATCACTGTATTGGTGTCACTGGGGATGTCCCCAGTTCCCCCCCAGTGTCAGAATGTCCACCGCAGTCCCGCAGTCCTGCCATAAGTTGCTGATCACCGCCATAAGTCGCTGATCGCCGCCATTATTAGTATAAAAAAAAAAAAAATAAAAATCCCAGTATCTTTCCCGCCATTTGTAAGCGCTATAACTTTCACGTAAACCAATTAATTTACACGGATTGGGTTTTTTCTTAGCAAAGACATGTCGCAGAATACATTTTGGCAGAAATGTATGAGTAAACTTGATTTTTACATTTTTTTTACTGGACATGTTTTATAGCAAAAAGTCCAAAATATTGTTTTTTTCCTCAAAATTGTTACTTTTTTTTTTTACAGGCGATCAAATGCCACCGAAAGAAAGCTCAATTTGTGGGAAAAAAATGATGCAAATTTCATTTATGTACCGTATTGTATGACTGCGCAATTGTCCGTTAAACTAGCGCAGCGCTGTATAGCAAAAAAATGGCGTAAATTGCAGTATCTATACCATAGTTTATAGACGCTATAACGTTCACACAAAGCAATCAATATACACTTATTGGGATTTTTTTTACCAAAAACATGTAGCAGAATACATTTTGGCCTAAATTTATAACCAACTTTGAGTTTACCATATATTTGTTATAGCTGAATTTAAAAAATATCGTTTTTCCTAAAAATTTTTGGTCTTTTTTTGTTTATAGCGTGAAAAATAAAAAGTGCACAGGTGATCAAATACCACCGAAAGAAAGCTCTATTTGTGTGAAAAAAAAGGACGTAAATTTGATTTGGGTGCAGCATTGCATGACTGCGCCATTATCAGTTGAATTAGTGCAGCGCCGAGTAGCAAAAAGAGGCCTGGTCATTAAGGGGGATAAATCCTCTGGAGCTCAAGTGGTTAAAAGCCCATACAGGAGCCTTTGTACTGGCCACTTCCTGAATGCCTGCTTTTCTATTGGCCTTTTCTGCTGCCAAATTGTAAGTTTCAAAAGAAAAAAGTACCACGAATGTAAGACAACCATTTGGCTCCTGCTTGCAGCATAGCCCCACTGAATAGGCAAGTTTGGCAGGCATTGCGGCCTACCAACTCCAAGCCACGTTAAATTTTCTGCCTCCAACTGTATTTTATCTTTTAGGTGGGTATTCAGGGGTCATAAACATACAGCCACCTGTTTTACCACCTTCTTGTTCACCTTGTAGAGGAGGTTTTAGTCAGCTAAAGCACTGTGAGGCGAATTTACTAAAAATGAAGCAGACAGAATCTGGAACAGCTGTGCATGAAAACCTGTCATCCTCTAGCTTTCCTTTTCAAAGCTCAACCCTTTCACTGCCAACCCCCCCCCCCCCCCCCCCATTTTATGTACACAAGTTAAAACTCACATTATAGGCCTGAGTGCAGTGACCCTGTAGAATAAAATGGTGGAAGTTGCAAATGATATTAGCACAACAGCAAGCAAGCAAATTTTAGTTCCCCCTCCTGACAGTTATATCCCGCCTTACATTAAAAAATGGGAAGGTGAACTTTAAATTTCCTTTTCCAGAACTCAAATACCCAGGGCCATTTCACTGTTCCATGGAGCATCCCTATCCAATAGCTTCCAAGAGCAAGGCTAGAAACTTCCTAAGCGATGGTATCATAGACACCTGACTTCCTTCATAAACAGATCCCTCAGATTCCTAGCACCTGCTGGCGATGTCAAACTGGACAGGTTACAGTATCTCACATCTTCTGGGAATGTCTTGTCCTATGCCCTTTCTGGTCCAAAGTACATTAAGTTATCCTTCGGTTTATCTTGGTGGATTTGGGTCGAATGTTATCAACTACTCCCTACACATTACAGTGAAACTTCACTCTCTTAATCAACATTGACCATTTAGGATCTTTATGTTGCTAGCATTAGTAAATATTTGCATTTCTTCAGTTACTTCCTGGTTACCAGGCCTAGGCAAATGATGTCATACATCCCAGGAGTCTTCAGTAGGAAAGGAGGGGCGTTCTCAGCTAAGCACACCCTCCTGTCTGCATGCCTGAGCTAAGGGTAGATGGATTCCAGGAAGTAAATGCTACATGAATCATCTGCCCTTACTCAAGAGGGCCACGGCCAGAAATGCTAGGGGGTGTTTTTGTACGAGCTATCTTAGCAAAACCAAGCATGGAGACACGGATGAATGAGGAAGTGTCCTTTGAATATTAAAAATGAATTACATAGTACTTCTGGTTTGCAATGCTCAAATGCAGTGTAGTTCATCTTTAATGACATTCCCCTGAATTATTACAAAACATCACTTCTACTACTAGGCCCACAACTACTTTGGGCTTAAATACACAGTATGTGCTTAAGTACTGTGGAAATCAATGTTGTCTCCCACAACCCGCATCTGCTTTTCCAGAATCTCTGAAATGTGCAAGATGGAGGAGCTTACAGCCACACTATATAACTAGAAGAGAGATATCGAAACACCTAGCTCCCTTGGCTTGAATTCTCATGCTCTCCCTCTTACTAAACAATGATGACCTCAGAAGACCTGGTCCCCTCACCTTGACAATCCGTCATCTCCTCGTGTACAAGCCCAGTGGCATTTCCTTGCCCTATGAACTCTCCCTTGATATACCCCACCTGCCAGGATTGGATAGGGGTCCCTCCCCAGAGGCACTGGTGATTTATCCCCCAACCCCATTTCTATTTGTTCCTCTCATAGTTCTTTCCCTACTGCAAAACTGATGCTCTTCTGGATCGCAACTTTTGGTGTGACCTTATATGAGTAAGGTAAAGTTACTATGTTAAAATTTAAGATATTTTTTGCTCATGTCAAGTTCTCTTTGTACATGTCTACAGGAGTTGTGCTACACTGGGCTCTAACAACCTGTGTTGGTAACGTAACCTGAAATGATCTTAGCTGAGCATGCCCATGTGATCCCTGTATCATTTTCCATATGTACAGTATGTACTAGCTACACAGTTACATGTGACTTAACCATCTGATCAAAATAAAGAATTATTACAAAAAATATATTACCACATTTTTAGTAAAAGAGGAGTTTGCATTGAGCAAACAGATATACAAAACAGCATTGACTGCATGTGCCTGTGAAACAAAAAAGGACAACTGTACCCAAATCAATAGGTGACATTTTAAAACCCTTCACAGCTCATCAATTTACAGTTAAATTGAATGGTGGCCCAACTGTTGCTCTCACTTACAGGTGCAATCCAACATATGCATGTATGTATGTGGGGGGTGTTAAGATTTTTTTTTTGGTGGGATTGTTATATTAAACCTTTGTACTTGTTTTTTTTTTTTTTAATCTAACATTATTGTTATTATAAGGGGTTCCCTACATACGTGAAAACATAGTGCAGATGACAGGTTTTCTTTACGGAGAAATCCCATGTTCAATATACCCTAATGTCACATATGCACTCTTTCAAAGCTAATCAAGCACAAATCACACAGCTACAGATGCTGGGAAATGTCCTAAGCCTTGCGTTGGTGGCAGCAGAAGGCGAAAAAAGGACCATGTTAGTATGTTCAAGGGTTGCACTGATACTGGTATCGGTACCGATATTAAAACATTTGCACGAGTATCAGTACTCCTGCAAATGCTCCAATACCTAAAGCTGATACTTTCAGGCTCGGTTCTTTCAGCTGTCAGTGGGATTCCCCCATGACAGCTGAAATGTAAGGTTAAAAAAAAACAGGCAATTACAGGTTGTTATGGAGCTGGGCCACCGCATCCTTAACAACCGATGACTCATACAGCTGTCAGCAGGGTTCCCCTATATAGGCTATAAAACCCTGCTTTGTTAACCGCTTTCCCACCCCCCTATAGCAAATATACTGCTACAAGGCGGCAGGGGTGCGCAAAATAACGTGTATATATATGTGATTTTATATTTCCAGGTAGGAGGCCGCACATATCAATCACCTGGTCCCGTCTGGTAATTACCCACCGGCGCCCGGTGATCACCAAGTCTCTCCGACAGGAAGGAGGACTGCTTTGTTTACTAACAGTCCTCCTCCCAGTCGGCTCGGGCACACTGCTTTGAATGGCTGTGCTTTGGATTGTCATTATGGGGTATTGTTTGTAGAATGTTGAGGAAAAAAAAAAAAGAATTTAGTCCATTTTGGAATAAAGCTGTAACATAACAAAATGTGGCAAAAGATAAGCGCTGTGAATACTTTCTGGATGCATTGTATGTGTACCTGCCTGATCGCTTCTATTCTTGCCAATGATTTCAGTTCTTTAACCATAGGTTTTAAATAAAGGACCAACAATTATCATATACAAGGATATTTAACTTGTATCATCTTTTTGGCAATTACCACCTAATAACTAATAGGGCTACCTTTAGCTGCAATTACCGCAGCCCAGCACATCACACAATTCAATACAGATACACATCAAATATACACTATATTGCCAAAAGTATTGGGACACCCTTCCAAATCATTGGATTCAGGTGTTTCAATCATCTCCATGGGCACAGGTGTATAAAATCAAGCACCTAGGCATGCAGACTGCTTCTACAAATATTTGTGAAAGAATGGGTCGCTCTCAAGAGCTCAGTGAATTCAAGCATGGTACCATGATAAGTTGCCACCTGTGCAATAAGTCCATCCGTGAAATTTCCTCGCTGCTAAATATTCCACAGTCAACTGTTTGTGGTATTATAACAAGGTGGAAGCAAGTGGGAACAACAGTAACTCAGCCACAAACTGGTAGGACACGTAAAAAGTGTGTAGAAGTTGCCGACTGTCTGCAGAGTCAATTGCTAAAGACCTCTAAACTTCATGTGGCTTTCATACTAGCACCACAGTGCATAGAGAGCTTCATGGAAAGGGTTTACATGGCTGAGGAGCTGAATCCAAGCCCTACATCACCAAGTGCAATGCAAAGCACCAGATGCAGTCATGTAAAACATGTCGCCACTGGACAATAGAGCAGTGTAGACGTGTTCTGTGGAGTGATGAATCACGCTTCTCTGTCTGGCAATCCGATGTGTCTGGGTTCGGTGGTTGCTAGTGTGCCAAGTGTAAAGCTAGGTGGAGGGGGGGTTATGGTGTGGGGGTTGTTTTTCAGGGGTTGGACTTGGCCCCTCAGTTATAGTGAAGGGAACTCTTAAGGCATCAACATACCAAGACATTTTGGAAAATTTCATGCTCCCAACTTTGTGGGAACAGTTCGGGGATGGCCCCTTTCTGTACCAACACAACTGCGCACCATTGCACAATGCAAGGTCCATAAAGACATGGATGAGTGAGTTTGGGATGGAGGAACTTCACTGGCCAGCACAGAGTCCTAACCTCAACCCAATAGAACACCTTTGGGATGAATTCGAGAACAGACTGCAAGCCAGGCTTTCTCGCCCAACGTCAATGCCTGACCTCACAAATGTGCTTCTGGAAGAATGGTCAAACATTCCCATAGACACACTCCTAAACCTTGTGGACAGCCTTCCCAAAAGAGTTGAAGCTGTTATAGCTGCAAAGGGTGGGCCAACTAAATATTGAACCCTACGGACTAAGACTGGGATGCCATTACAGTTCATGTGTGTGTAAAGGCAGGTGTCCCAATATTTTTGGCAATGTAGTATATCTATCGGTATGATGTGCTATGTTATGGGAAACATCCAGAAATGTTAATTGTGTACCTTAGCAGTACCTTGAAAAATCTAGTAGTTCAATTCCTTAAAAATAACATGTACTTCCTGTGCCTAAATTATTTGCACAGTGAGATCACATATTAGTCATCAGTACACTCAGATAGCCAGTTTCCTTTTATCATTTACAAAAAAAGAAGAATCATATGTGTTTTTTCCAAGTATTTGCTTATATAATTATTTATATATGTAAATTCATATGAGTAAATACAATTTCATTTTATAAGTTCACAGACATGTCTTCCAATTAAAACAGGTACGCATTCAAAACATAAAAATTATTCCAACAAAGATGCTACCTAATCAATAATGTAATTTGTTTTGTATTACATGTGTGAATGAGAAGGCACGGTACTGAATGCAAGTAAAAATAAGCAAATACATACAAATGCAGTACTGCATACTAAGCATATAGTGCAAAATGATCTCTGAATATAAGCAGATGAAAAGCTGTTATGTACAAAGATTACCTTTTCATGCACAAATCAGCTTCCTCTGAAATCACAAGTCTCCCTTAAAAGTCAGTGAAGCCACCAATTACACTAAAACAACTAAGAAGTCTCAGGATGTTAAAAGGGATTGAGCCAAGCATGATGTTTACAGGAAAAGGTGATATTAGCAAATACATTTCATTATTCCAAATTATATGTCCCATCAAGCTGGGATATTGGTTGGAGTGCATGCAGTGCATGCCTGGGAGAAAAGCATATGCAGTACATCTCTACACATTCTCTTCAGTTGAACTACAGCATATTGCTACCTTTCCTTGAGTTAAGAGTGAGTTGTTTTATAGTCAAAGGAAAACTCAAATATGGACGACAACATTGTTTGGGATTTCTTAGCAGAAAGAGTGTTCTCAACTCATTACAGGACGTTGAGCACTAGCTAGATTTCTGGAAGGATCACTAGATATTTTGTGGGTACCTGCAGCATTAAAAAAAAAAAAAAAAAAAAAACAGACGCACATTAGAAATACATGTTTTACAGACTTACTAGTTTTTTGTCTTTTTTTACATTTTACCCCAAATAAAATTTAAAGCATTTTCTGCTTATATATTTTCCAACATATTGTCATTGTGAACTGCTCAGGCTTGTTAGGAATTTAAAGGGAAACAGGAACATTGCTACTGAATTCCCAATTACACATACCTCAGCAAATACACTGCTCAAAAAAATTAAAGGAACACTTTTTAATCAGAGTATAGATCAAGTCAATTAAACTCCTGGGATATTGATCTGGTCAGTTAAGTAGCAGAGGGGGTTGCTTTGGTGTTAATGAAATTAACAACAGATGCACTAGATGGGCAACAAATGCGACGACCCCCAAAGCAGGAATGGTTTTACAGGTGGAGGCCACTGACATTTTTTTCCTACTCATCTTTTCTGACTGGATTTTACTAGTTTTAGCTAGGGTCAGTGTCACTACTGGTAGCATGAGGCGATACCTGGACCCTACAGAGTTTGCACAGACAGTCCAACTCCTCCAAGATGGCACATCAATATGTGCCATTGCCAGAAGGTTTGCTGTCTCTTCCAGCACAGTCTTAAAAGTATGGAGGAGATTCCAGGAGACCGGCAGGAGAGCTGGACAGGGCCATAGAAGGTCCTTAACCCATCAGCAAGTCCGGTATCTGCTCCTTTGTGCAAGGAGAAACAGGATGAGCACTGCCAGTGCAACAGCAAGCACATACAGGAAAAATAAAAACGCTCTATTTTACGAGCAAATTTTCCAAGGCAGAGAGATGCTCTCCAAGACTTAGACTGGGAGGGAATATTGGCATCAATGAATAACACAGAAATGGAAGTTCTCTCAAAAATTGCGTATGTGAACACACTGCAAAAAATATTCCCATGTTCCAAGTTTAAAAGGCTAAAAATTAAAACTCCAAAATTATTCAACCCCCAATGCTGTAAAGGGGTTTAGGGACTATAGTGTACATTTGGAATTGTATTCAGAATCAAATCCTACAAGGACGTTGTAAAGTACCCAAATGCAACTAAAATGACATCAACTTGTTTATGTAATACAGTAGTAAATGGTTCTTATGTGGTTTTTTCATTGCCAATAAAAAAAAATGAAGGAATGCAGAGGTATACATCGCTTTCCATCAGGTATGAAAACATTATGTCACCCGAGCCAGCAAAGAATATAACACCAATTATGCAAAAAAAATAAAGGCCGCTTCTGAAAATTGAAAAAAAATGGTCAAATGAAATGGCATAAGAAAGATTCAAAGATGTTAGAACCATACCAAAGAGCCAGTAGGAAAATTCGACAAATTCAAGGCGCAAATATTACTTGTAAAAAGGTACCTGGTCCAGAGATGCTGACATGCTGCGCGCTAGGAAGCCTTTAAAAATAATCTAGACTGCTGGGAAAACTGACTGGGGGACAAAAAAAATAAAAAAAAAAAAGATACAATAAGCAAATTTATTAAATTCCCAGAGCCTTCCACCTTTGCTGTCTCCAAAGAATTTTAGTGACTGCAGCAAAGGGGGACAAACCACAAAAGTTGTGAAAGTGTTGGGAGCTCTTGTCAAAAAAACTGTTTTTGCATGGTAATGTTTGCGAGGTGTGAAGAAACAAGGCCAAAACAATGATGAAAAAAGAATACAAGCCGTGCCTTATGTGAAGCATGGGGGAGGGGGTCAATGTCCAATAGGCTGTTCTGCAACAAAAGGTCCAGGGAATAGGTGTGCTTTACAAAATACCAATTGACACAGCATCCAGATGATTGGACAACTTAAAGACAACCCCAACCCAAGCCTCACCAAGTCCTCACCACCATATGATTCCAACATTTTGGAGTGGCTCAAATACAGTCGCACCAACATTTAAAATCCGATTGAGAATCTCTGGGAGGGGGGACAAATACACATGGGGTCATACCAAAATGTGACTAGGACAGTACCTGGATTGGCGCCACTGGGCCCATACACTGTGACCTTAACAGAATTCAGCTACATTTCAAAGCCATGTTTTCTAATTTTTTAGGGAATTCAATTGACTGGTAAAAAGTACATTCACTGTGAGCACAGAACAAATAGAACATCAAAAAAAAAAAAAAACATAAACTGTTATGTTACTGGATCGCATAGGGTGCCTCTTTAACAAAATTGTAAGCAAGGACTTGGCCTGAACTGACATGATCAGTACTCAAACTGGCACTAAAAAACATATCAATTTCAGCATGGCATAAGGCCAACTGTGGTGCCATAATTAAAAAGGGAGGTCAAATTGAAGGAAAATCTTTACCAAGGAATTATAGACCTGTTAAACACGCAAATGGAACAGTTGTGCACTTCAATAGTTGGGAAAATACTCTTTAAAATAGTTTTAATAAAAGACCACAAATACACAAGAACATCTTAAAACACTTATAGAGTGGGTTTACAAAACAAAAGAAGACAAATAAATTCGAAATACCTTCAATAGATACATTATTTGACAGAAGTTGTATTAAATATAGGTGAGCAAAAACGTTGTATTCAAAATAGACAAACAAGGATTTATGGACAAAAGAACTACACCCACTCTGATGAACAGAGGTTCATAGGTTCTTGTCAGGTATTTGAAAATGTGCAAATAAGAATGCGAGATGAGAAAAAATTGGATAGCTATTGCGCATAGGGGGGGGGGAAGGGTGGAGGCAAAAATGACTGGGATACTCAGCCCCCCTTTCTCCTTCTAGACATTTAATGTTTTGCAAAACATGGCTTGAAGGGCAAGATGAATGGTCTCAGGAAGACAAAGCTGGCTCTTCACTCAGGAATAAGGAGTCTGATTGCAAAATGTACCAGAAGCAAAAGATCGTATTCGTGCAAATTCCGACGAGGCAAAGGGCACTGTTGAAAACGCTACCTGGTTAAAAGAAGATGCTGACTTCGATGCTGCTGTGCGCTACCTGAAGCGTAGAGTGGAGAGAAGTCCCCGTGTGACCTGCTGAGGAAGACTGAGAAAAAGATTTGTCAGATGTGGGTACAGAAATATTTCAGCCCAGACAATAAGACGCACACTGCGTAATGAAGGCCTCCGTGCCAGAACTCCCAGGCGTACCCCCTTGCTGGTCTCCAAAGAATAAGAAGAGTCGACTGCAGTATGCCAAAAGCCATGTGGACAAACCACAAAAAGTTGTGGGATAGTGTTCTGTGGACTGATGAAACAAAATTATTAGAACTGTTTGGGCCCATGGATCAACGCTATGTTTGGAGGAGGAAGAACAAGGCCTATGATGAAAAGAACACCTTGCCTACTGTGAAGCATGGTGGAGGGTCAATCATGCTTTGGGGCTGTTTTGCTTTCTGCAGGTACAGGGAAGCTTCAGCGTGTGCAAGGTACCATGAATTCTCTTCTAGTACCAGGAGATATTGGATGGAAA